TCAGCTGATTTCTCAACAGAAACTATGCAGGCCAGAAGGGAGTGGCAAGAAATATTCAAAGTGATGAATAGCAAGAACCTACAACCAAGATTACTCTACCCAGCAAAGCTATCATTTAGAATTGAAGGTCAGATAAAGAGCTTCACAGATAAGAAAAAGCTAAAGGAGTTCATCACCACCAAACCAGTATTATATGAAATGCTGAAGGGTATTCTTTAAGAAGAGGAAGAAGAAGGAAAAGGTAAAGATAAAAATTATGAACAACAAAGTGACAACAAATACATATCTATCAACAAGTGAATCTAAAAATCAAGTGAATAAAAAGTCTGACGAACAGAATAAACTGGTGAATAGAATAGAAACAGGGGCATAGAAAGGGAGTGGAATGACAATTCTCAGGAGGAAGGGAGTGTGGGGGGTGGGGGAAGAGACTGGACAAAAATCGTACACCTATGGACGAGGAGGGGTAAGGGCAAGGGGTGGGTTGGGAACCGGGTGGAGGGGAGCTATGGGGGGAAAAGAGGAACAACTGCAATAATCTGAACAATTAAGATTTATTTTTTAAAAAAGAAATAAAGAGAATCAACATTACTTTAAAAATGTGACTACTTTTGAAAAGGCAAAAAGATATTATACAAAGTCAAGGATTTGTAATTTTATTTGAGTAACTTGTGTGAATCAACTCTTCTCTCCATTGCTTATGATTAAACACCTCTATTAAAGAAATTTTAAAAAAAACAAGTTGCTGACTTACCTAAGATGAGTAGTAATTCATACTGGTTATGAAAAGAATAATAATCTCATTCATTTCACCATGTGAGTTCAGTATACAGCTGACCCTTAAACAATGCCAGGATTAGTGGCCCAAGCACCCACATAGTCTAATATACATATACATACACACATATATATCACTTTTGACTGCCCAAAACTTAACTACTAATAGCCTAATGTTGACTGGAAGTCTTACCCATAATATAAACAGTAGATTAACACATATTTTGCATATTATATGTGTTATATACTATATTCTTAAAATAAAGTAAGATAGAAAAAAGAAAACTTTATTAAGACAATCATAAGGAAGGAAAATACATTTATGGTATTCATTGAAAAAAACACGTGTGTAAGTGAACCCATGTAGTTCAAAGCCGTGTTGTTCAAGTATCAACTGGATTTTTTACACTTGTTAGCAACTTAGTATAGTAAGAACCCAGACTCAGAAGCCTAACAACCTAGATTTTTGTCTTGCATTCACAAATCAACTTGATCTGCTGGGTGTGGCCTCCTGTGTCAGTCAGGAGACGAATAGAATTTCAGATGGTTGACGATGTTAGACTCCCCCCAAAAAAATATATTGATTCCCAGCTACTCTGGTCTGATTGAAAGTTGATGACATGGTACTTCCACAGACAGCCCTACTCTTGCCAGCTCAGAAGGAGTCTACGAGTTCTTCATCACCCTCCTCTTTTATGAAAGAGAAGGTTCAAACAATGCCACTATATCTAGGTGAGCCTAACAATGTAAAAGATCATCTTCCCTGTGAGCAGGATTGCGTCTCTCATAATGTTTCCTTTAGGGAAACTGTTTTATCTGGATCTTAGAAAGCTGGGAACTAGATTCCAAAAAGGTATATATGTCATTTTATAAGTGACTCACTTCCTAACTCTATCCCAGGTGTGGGGTGTGGGGGGAGCCTGGAAAGATACACTTGTTAAAAATGTTATTTTGGGATGGTTGTATTATTAACTACTGTTTTAAACTTTCTTCTTTATACTTTTCCATATTACAATGAGTATACAATACAGCTATTTCCAGTTTTAAAAGTTCCCATAAAAACTTGCCTTGCTCTGAAAGTCATAGGGAACCATGAGTCTCTTCCACTCATAACTGGAACCATTTACTCATTCTTTCCCATTAGGTTTTATTTGGGGTGGAGTTGTTTAGCTCAATCTCCTGTACCAACTCTTCTTCCTACTTTCCTGCCTCACCACCACATCTATTTTATTGTCTCCATCAGTAATTTTTTATCTCCATCAGTATCAAAATATTCTATATCCCCACAAGCAGAACATATAACATAAAACAAAAATAAGTTACTAAAAATGCATTTGTATTTACAGAGATTTTTTGGAGAGAGACTTTGATAGAAGACCATGTATCCAATCTTCGATCAAGAATAATGGTAAACCGGGAGTCAGATCCATTTTTCCTGCAAAATAAGGAAAATAATATGTATTTATTAGTAATAATCCAAATTTGCTAGATACATCCTTACTTCTGATATTTCATTTAATTTGATGTCTTAACTAAAGACAGTTTGGGATTTGGAAGCTATCACTAAGTGCTACTTTGGAAAACCAATTTATTCCATGACTCACTATTTAAAATATCTTTTTCAGCATTAATGTCAATGTTTAAAATAGGCAAGTGACAGTGTAATGCAGATAGGTTACTAAAATGGATTTGGAATACTGCAATCATGGGTATGGGTAAACCTTATAGACAGCTGTCTTTTATGACATCAGATTTAACTTTCCATGGCAATCCATCATAAGCCAACAATCATTCATTTATTCATTCATTCAGAAAAATATTATTAAATATGTTTTAATCTTTTGTCTACCATTTTAGGGAATGCAGTTTAGTGAATAACAGAACTTTTTTTTTTGGTTGATCTTTACTTGAAACATTTTCCTTTGTAGTTTTTAACTAGCAGGGCGTTCCACTGCACCACTGCTGACATCATCTATGACATCATGAGGGTGGGAGTCATCAACCTTGCAGCCCACAAACTGGGCAGTCCCCATGATCTCCATATGGTTACAGAGAGTTATATAGTTAAACATCAGTGCCACATCTGTCAGAAAATGTTAATAATCTCATCAAAAGTGATATTTCCACTGTGCTTAATGCGGTTTTTCTTCCTTCTTTCTGCTTCTTGGAGGTTCTTTGAGGGCTTTGATGATCAGGACAGAGGCAGAAGGTACTGCCTCAATATGGGCCTGTTTGTTCTAAATGGTCAGTTTCACTGTAATCCCCAGACTCTTCCAATCAACAATTGCTTTGGCCATGTAAACACCAACATTTATTTTGGAGACAGACACAGGGGGCTGATCTTGGGGATCAGGGCATATGTGGCACCAACTTCCTCACTGTAGCAGCTAAGGTATATGACTTTGATTTCATTGGGGTCAAACTTCAGCAGCATGGTGGAGGCAGCAGGTATTGGATGAACCCAGAATAGAGACAACCAAAGAAAGTTGCGCCTAAGCCTCCTCCAAGCCAAAAGCTTTTCAAAGCTAGAATTTATATTTGCCCTAAAAAGACCACTTTCAAACTTCAAGGGGTGTTCTGTAAATTTCGTTTTTTAGAATTTGATATTTGTCCATGAGACTCTTCACAATTTTACCATCCTAGATTTGTGCCCCCTTAGTCTTCAGGGTTAGCAACTATAAAATGTTTCCTTTAACAAATTTATCTTCAACCTAAATAAGATCTTTAAAGGAGCTTTTGAAAGATTCCCTCTTACAGTATTCAAGTCTCAAATGTTCTCCAATATTAATAAGTTCCTCCTAATATATTACAATATCACTTTTGAGTCTATTTGACACTTAGTCTTCTTATTTTACCCTTGGAAGAAATGAAGAATAGCTGCCCTCACTCATGGCTAGTAAGATTTCCTTTTACACAAATTGAAGCTTTATATACTATTGTAAATTTCAACTTACGTTCTTCATGGGGACAAATACTTCTAGACCCCAAATATTGTATTCAGAAATCCCCCATATAATTTTTATAGCTATTTAGTTAGCTGCTTCCCCTTCTATTCCTTTTCTGCTCTGAAGGTGATTCCTATGATCATTTACAATAATAATAAAAGTCACACTTAAAAGCCATTGTCCTGTTATTACATTCATATGGGTATCTAATATAAAACAAATTGAAAACTGTTAGAAAATGCTATACCTTGCAATAGATGTCAAATAAGTCAGTACTTTTGTTATCACTTCTTCTGGTATGCATCTGAAATTACAATTTTCTGGAAATGTAATGATCCAAGCATTGTCCTTTCCCCGGCCACCTAAAACAGTATTTAAAAATCAAGCAAATTAATAATTTGTGTGACAATAATGCAAGAAAGATAATTTTTAAATATGAAAGGAGCAGTTAGGAGAGAGTTTTTGGCCAATGTAACTTTTATAAGGATGATACCTCTACATAAACCAAAATGGCACCAAGCTCCTAAGTTTAAAAAGTGACAGAATAGATCCTAAATGGATATGGGGGGAGAACAAAGTAAGTTAATATAGTTAGAAGAAAATTTCATGGAATGTACAATCAAAAATATAGTTGATACCTCTGTTTCTTTAGCAATGCTAAGACTTAAAGTGGATAATTGGCGGTTTAACAGCAAGTGGAAATAAATGATATTCTAATAGATTTGTGAAGACACAACATAAGCAATAATAGCAACAATGGTATAGAAATCCTACCAATGCAAAGAAAGACTGACCATAAATTCTCTGTGGGTTAAAATTCAAATGTACACTCTATTCCATGACCCTTTCTACAGCCTGGAGCATGAGGAACATTGAGAATGAAACCCACCTATGTGCAGGGATAAGCCTTACACATACTTAAGGTTGCACTCTAAACCCAGCCTAGCACATGTGCACAGAATACTAGCTTAATAAACATTTAGTGCTAAATGGTGATTGAAAAATTATTTTAGGAGGAAAGTTGTAGGGTGGTCTTAGAATTTAGCTTGCTAATAGAAATTTTTAAAGAGGTTTAGTTGTAATTCTTATTTGGCTGAATTTAAGTGATTAAAGATATAAGGATATAAAAAATCAATATACAATAAAATATGACAATGGCAAAGGAGAGAGAGTGGAATTATAAATATTCAACCCACAAGAAAGTAAAACTGGAAGGAAAAAATAATGGGACAAATAGAAAACAAATAGTGCCCTGACCGGTTTGGCTCAGTGGATAGAGCATCGGCCTGTGAACTGAGGGGTCCCAGGTTCGATTCTGGTCAGGGGCATGTACCTTGGTTGTGGGCACATCCCCAGTGGGGGGTGTGCAGGAGGCAGCTGATCGATGTTTCTCTCTCATCGATGTTTCTGACTCTCTATCCCTCTCCCTTCCTCTCTGTAGAAAGTCAATAAAAAATTTAAAAAAAAAGAAAACAAATAGTACAATAGTATATTTAAACCCAGCTATATGAATAATCACATTAAATATACATAATCTTGACACCCCAATTAAAAGTTAGTGATTATCAAATTGGATACAAAATTAAGACCCAAGTATATGCAATATTGCCTAAAATAAACACACTTTAAACATAAAGGTACACGTGCATTAAAAGCAAATGGATAGAAAAAGATATGCCATGTTAAAATTACTCAAAGGAAGCTAGTTTTCAAAAAAGTAGATTTCAGAATCAAGAATATTACTAGATATTAAGAAGATCATCTGATGATCAAACATCAATAAATACATCAAGAGAACATAATGATCCTAAATGCTTATGTACCTGATTACAGAGCTTCAAAATACATGAAACAAAAACTGATAGAACTAGAAGGAGAAATAAGCAAATCTACAGTTTTAGTCAGACATTCCACAACCTCTCTCTTAGTTATTTATAGAACAAGTAGACAGGAAATTTGCAAGGATACAGTACACCTGAACAACAGTCTCAACTAATATAGAACACTCCAACCAACAAAATACACATTCTCCAATGCATTTGGAAAGAGATAAAATTAATTATTTGCCTTAATCTTTACCAAAAGAAATTTGAGTGAGAATTCCCACTCCCAAATTATCTTTTGAATCAAAATAATCCAAATTATTAAATTAAATCAAATGATGATAAATCTTCAGTATATAATAGACTTAAAGTGCAGAATTTTTAAGGAAGATTTATCATGGAGAATTATGGCATCTAAGCAAGAGTCTTAAAGGAACTCAAAGGAAAAATGGTATAACTCTGAACCAAGAGATTTAGTGTATCACTAAACAAAGAGCCTCTATAGGTAGGTTACAGTATAGAACTAGTAATATAAATACTATACTAGTATGATATTTTAATATAACCTATATATTTTATACAATATAACACAGACTTGCCAAGTAAGTTGGTAAGCACTCTAGTTAAAGACAGAATAAACTAGCACTTAGACAAACTATACCTACACCAAAGAAAAGAATGCAAGGTTCTTATAAGGATAAATTATCATCTACTAATCTAAAAACTGTTATTATCTCTGTGCACCTACAAGTGCTGTACTAGGTAGTAAATTTGTAACTAAAGAATGCAAGAGATATTTTAATTATAAATTGGGAGATTTTAATTATTTTCCCCATTGAGAACCCTTTCTTTAAAAGAAATCAGAAACCTTTTGAAAACAACTACCAAAAGCAGATAAGGAAGGAATTGTAGAGAGGGATCTGAGTGAGGAATAAGCCCCCATGGCAGTTCTATTTGGAACAGAGTTTGGAAAACACTGTGAGCTTCAGTAAAATCCCCCAAACTCAACAGTGATAGTATGTCACACGTTTATACCACTTGTAAAATAAAGCATAGCCCTATCCGGTTTGGCTCAGTGGATAGAGCATCGGCCTGTGGACTCAAGGGTCCCGAGTTCAATTCCTGGTCAGAGCACATGCCCAGGTTGCAGGCTCCATCCCCAGTAGGGGCCTTGCAGGAGGCAGCTGATCAATGATTTTCTCTAATCATTGATGTTTCTATCTTTCTTTTCCTTCCTCTCTGAAATAAATAAAAAATATACTTAAAAATGAAAATAAGTAAATAAAGCATAAAACCACATTAAGTCACCACTAATTCACAATTACCACTAATTATAATCATAAAGCAGAGGCTAGATTGAAGTGCCCAATTAAGATAATCTATAAAGTAAATGCTTGTTTAGTAAACGTGAGAACATAGGTATCATTTTAGGAGAAAAAATTAAACTACTTAAAAGAAATGTTTGTTTCATGTATTCTCAACACTAAAGAAGCATTCATTTTCATGCAAATAATGCATATAACTTGTAAATTTTTATGTTTAATATAATATATACTATTTAATAGTATATTCAAATTTCTCTAACACCTGAAACCAATTAGTTTGTCTTTAAGCAAAACTTTCCTTAGTTATCTGACCAAGTCAAAAGGAAAGGGGTGCTTATATCTCTAAAAATATGTAATGCTGTTGAGAAGCATTATTCACAGTAGCCAGAAGGCAGAAGCAATCCAACTATCAATCAACAGATGAATGGACAAAATGTAGTACATACATAATATGGAATAATATTCCACCTTAAATAGGAAGGAAGTCTTGAAATATGCTACAACATGGAAGGACCTGGAAGACATTATGCTGTCAAATAAGCCAGTCACAGGAGGATAAATACTGTATGATTCCACTTATATGAGGTACCTACAGTAGTAAAATTCATAGACATAGAAAATAGAATGAAGGTTACCAGGGGCTAGGAAAGGAAGGAATGGGAAGTTATTTTTTAATGAATACAGAGTTTCAATTTTGCAATATGAAGAGTTCTGGAGACCATTGGTGATGATGGTTGCACAAAAATAAAAATGTAATTAATGCCACTGAATTGTATAATTAAAATTGATGAAGATGGTAAATTCTTTATGTATATTTTATCAAAAATTTTTAAGGAGTATGGAGAAGATGGCCGCCGGAAGGATGGCAGTGAGGGAGAGAATGTGAGTGAGTAAGGGAGCGAAGGGGGAGTACCTGGACATGTGGGGGGGGGCGGGTAAGGGACAGTTAGATTCTGCAGGACTTTTGGAGACTAGAGGATCAGGCTCCCCTAGCCAAGCAGCCTCTGCTACTGCTACAATCTATCCTGGGATGGCTGGCACTGCCAGCTCTACCACAGAGGCCACGCCATCTTGCAGGGGAGAGCTGCTGTGACTGGGAGCCCAGCCTCACCTCCACCCAGGGAGCCCTTGCACAACACCCGGGACCCTACAGCCACTCTGACCAAGGACCTGCTGCCTTGGCTGCAGACCCACAAACACTGAGATGCCAGCCTCCCTGGCCTCAGGCTCTTATGAGTTCCGGAGAGTGCTCCCATCCTGCCAGCCAGACACTTTAGCCCCAGGCACCATGACAGTGTAGGAACAGCCAAGCCTTAAACAGCAACCCCAGGCTCCACAACCACACACAAACAGCCAACCCTTATGCAGCAATCCCGGATGCCACTACCACGCTAGCTGACACCAAGCCCAATGTAGCAACCCCGGGAGCCGCAACCAAGTGTGAGCAACCAAGCCCTACGCAGCAACACTGGGTGCCTCACACAGCAACCCCGGGTGGCACTACTGCTCAAATCACCGCCAAGCTCGACGAATCGACCCTGTGACTGGTGACCATGCTGTCCGTCGCCAAGCCTGCTGCTGCAGTCACAGCTCCAGTGCAACTTGATGGCAAGATCATTTGGTGAGAGCAAAATAGGGAGACAAAGAAACAACCCCCAAAGGAAAGAAAAGGAGGAATCACCAGAAAATGAACTAAATGAAACAGAGGCACAAAATTTGTCAGAAAAAGAATTTAGAGTAAGGGTCATACAGTTCATAAATCAGATGGATGAGAAAATCAACAACTTATATAAGAATCAAAAGGAAATAAATAGTGATATAGCTCCAATAAAAAACACTATGGAAGGTTTCAACAGTAGACTAGAAGAAGTGGAGGACCAAATTAGTGAATTAGAAGACAGGGCAGAAAAACACATCCGATCTGAACTGCAGTTGGAGAAAAAAAAAATAAAAGGCAGGAGGAGAGCCTAAGGGAGCTTTGGTACAACGTGGATGAAGCAACATATGTATAATAGGGGTGCAGAACGACAAGAAGAAGAGCAATGGTTAGAAACCCTACTTGAAGAAATAATGTCAGAAAACTTCCCTGAATTGGGGAAGAAGAAAGTCACACAAGCACAGAGTCCCAAAAATGATGAACCCAAAAAGACCCACACCAAGACACATTGTAATTATGATGGCAAACATTAATGACAAAGAGAGAATCTTAAAGGC